GCGCTTAGTTTGAGGGCTTAGCACCGGCCTTGACGTGCAGTCACCTAGGTTTGGATCTTGCAGTTGCCCAGGGTGGTTGGTTGGGTTTAAGGTCACCTTTGAGAGCGTATACCGGCCCACTTCGCCGGGGGCCTTTCCCAGCCACAGTGCAAAGGCAGTGCGCGCTTCTCTGTCTTCGCGCAGACCCAGTCATTACAGTCCAGGCACCATTTTCTGTCCTTTTACTGCCAAACAAGTCGTTCCTGCTATTTTGGGGTTTAGGATGACACGCTGAACCCCAAATAGCAACATGATGTTGCTGGTATAGGAATTCGCCAAGATTTTTGGCCAAATTTCCTTTTCTGCACAAAATCATTGAAGTTGGCCCGCCAGCATCAAAGATCTTCGACATCGAGTCGAGCGTGCATTGCAGGGCCAAATAGCAACATTACGTTGCTGGTATAGGAAATCGCCAAGGCTTTTTTGGTCAAATTTCCTTTTCTGCACAAAATCATTGAATTTGGCCCGCCCGCACCAAAGATCTTCACCATCGAGTCGAACGTACATTGCAGGGCCTGGACGCTGGCTTTTCCTCCCCGGCTGGAGGTAAGTTTGGCCAACATGTGGCCTTGATGGCCACTCTGCTGCCCGTGGCATGCACGCGAGGGCAGTACTTCCACTCCTTTCCCCGTCTTTGGGGTGGTTTTCCCTCCCCGTTTGGAGGTAATTTTGGCAGACAGGGGGCCTTTATGGCCACTCTGCTGCCTGTGTTCAAGAATGCAATGGCAGTGCGCCACTCCACTGCCCGTCAATGGGGTGGATTTTGGTTGGTAGAGGTAGCCGAGTGCCCAGAGCTGCTGCGGCATGGGTGCTCTGGCCCCTGTTAGTAAGAGCGAGAACGCAGGGGCCACCTCGTTGCAGCAGGGTTTTGGGGCGTCGTTCCCAGCGCCTCCATAGTCGATGGGAAAGCGTCGCTCCCTGCGCCTAAAATTGGGGGGAGTGCGTGGTCCCCGCGCTTAACTACAAATTGAGGGGACAAAACCCTGCTGCGCCAGTTAACGTCCAGCCCAGAGAAGGTGAGCTGAAGGCCCCCCGCCCCCAGGCCTTGGGGGTTCTCCTCCCTGCCAAGTGCATTGGGGCGGGGCAGCAACACAGGAGGCCTAGCCCTGTATAGTGCAGTTCCAAGTTGAAGAAGACGCTGGGGGTTGACCGTTCAGAGTCCCTCCATTTGATGGCATAGGTCCTGTAGCCTGTAGTGACCAAGGCTTTCTTTTCTCACCTCATTTTTCCTGTGGGATTTTGGTCAGCACCGGCCTGGAAAGCGCCCGGGTAAGCAGTGCCGTAGGCAAGCACGCCTAGTCACAACGACTGTGGGTGTGTAGGCTGTAGGTGTCAAAACCCTTTTCCCCCAGGCCTGGCTCAAGGTAGCCGCCCGGGTTTCTTAGGATTGCCGTTTCGGCGGCCGCGCTTCGCGCTTCGAGAAGAAAGTTTTTGACTTCCTTGTGAGTGCCTTTACAGTTGACAGGATGTCTTGCACATGTGACATGAACCAGCATTGCATGAGTTGAGAACTGTGCTTGAACCGTTTGTTTGGTGTTAGCAGAAACAGGCATGGACATAGCATGTTTGGAGCTTGGCTTGAAAGTGTTTCTTGCTTTGAGCTTGACGGGAGATGCTTGGAGTGTGCATGATGAGCAGAGAAGCACTCGAGATGCTTTAGGAGCATCCTTGAAGAAGTGCGTGTTGCTCTGAGTTTGCTCTTTAAACCTTGGCCGCCGACCCTCGCTTCGCTCGTGTCGTCGTACTGAGGTTCGAGCAGAGTGGCTGTGCACTTGTATGCTTGTTTTGCTGAAGCACTGAAGTCCTGAGAAGCATTAGGACGTTTGCATGTGTTCCTCCTTTGTTTAACAAAGTTGAGATGGAATTCACGAAAGTGAAGCTGCGCTGACTCTGCGAGAGACTTGCCGAACACCTCTGGTGTTTTGGCTCAAGCGTGGAGTGAAAAAGAGCTCTGCGTTTTTCACAATTCTTGAAATCAGACTTGCCGTCGTAAGTCATAACGTTGCGTAACTTGCGCACTGGCCATGCTCCAGTCCGAGACAACACACCAAACAACATGAAATGCAGTCAAAATTAAAACCTGTGAAAAATCTCTTACTTAGCTACACCACTTCGAAGCTCAAGGACCTCGGATTCGAACTTCCATGACAACTGTGTGCTCTGGGTGCGCTACTTCGCCATGGTACGCAGAGGAAGTTCCAAAGTTTTCCTTGCGACTCCCGTATCGCATCACTAAAGCTGGCCAAGGTGGTGGGGTCCCATCAAGGATTTTTCTTTTGGGAGCATTCAATGTGAGGTACACATCAAACCTTCTTTATCGTATGCCCTGCAGGAGCTGGCATCGGTCTTGCGTCGTGATGATGGTTCTTTTCGACTTGGCGCTGGTAGTGTTTGCCACACGGATTCGGCTCGTGCGTACAAGCAGCTGGGTGTCGAGGATGGCTTCCTTTTCGATGGCTCCTTCTGCAACGCGAAGGAGCTCAAGGGTCTGAAGCTTGCCCACACCAATGTCAAGCACAAACCTCCAAAACCGGAGTTTACCAAGCCGTTTGACGTGCCTGTGTGGCAGGGTCTTGATGGGATTGTTGGCGGACAGTGATAGGGAACTGGATGCCGGCGAATCCCAGTGCAGTTTGTTGTTCGACGATGACGAGTGAAGCGCCCGGGTATCTCGCAGAAATGATGTCTCGATGTGTGCTTGCGAGTCCAAAGCTTGGAGGCTTCGGGGTTCAGTTTCGGGGTTCGGTGTTGCCGTGGGGTATTTGGCGAGGTGGGTTTCTGCAACCAATGAAGCTGTAGGGTGCTGCTATACTTGCTTCTGGAGACCTCACGCGGATCCCTTTATTTTGCGCGGCGCCTCAAGCGGTAGCACTTCTCCGGGCGCTGCGCCTATATTGCCGCGGCGTCTCAAGCGGCGACCGTTTTCGTTTGGTTTCTGGCCGAGCTATGCGCCTCAGGGGGCGCCGCCTGCGGCGGCGCCCCGAAGGGGCGCTACTTCTCAAGCGGTTACCGCGCCGCTCCACGCGCCGCGCCCGGCGGTTCTTTTGGGTCGATTTTGAAGCAAGCTTGCGCAACTTAAATTTGCTGCTTGCTCATTGGTTTATGGATGCTGAAATTTTGATGCTTCTCAGGTTAGAGTTGGGGTCAACTTCAGCTGGGAAGGGGTCAAGGTTGGAGTGAATCCCAACTTCAACTCTGGCTCCTTGAGAGGGAGCTTGGACAAGGGGTGAGAGTTGGGTTGACTGAACCCTAACCGCAGATCCGGTGGGTTAGGGTTTTTCTTACCCTTTCTAGGCGGGTGAGGTGAGAGTTGGGGTTACCTAAACCCTAACTCCGCATCCAAACCCATATCTGGGTTGGATAAAGGGTCTTAACTCTTACTCTGGAAGGGGGGGGTGGCTTGGAGGGGTTAGAGGGTGGTTCAGATTATCTTAGCTATCTGTTATCCTGACCCTAAATCAGACTAGAGTTTGGGCAACTTGGATTCGGGTTCACCCAAACCTCAACCTAGGTTTGGGTCAGCCCCCCCGCCGGGGGTCGAACCCAAGGTTGTAACAAAGTTGAACCCCAACCCTCAACTTAGGCCCGCAGAGTGTGCTCTACGGACGAAACGCTGACCGATTGGACATACCTTTTGTGCTGCTAATGTGGAAAATGGGCGACGCTCCAAAAAAAGAAAGAAAGTTCAACTTTGAATTGGTTGTTTCACGAGCAACGCCCCTCAAAGTACTACTTTCACCGCCACGCTGACAGCGTGTTCTCGAAAAGATAAGGAGCCAAATTCATGGGACGTGAGACACGGGCTGGCAAGCGGAGACAAAATTAGCCCAGGAATCCGGCAAAGGGCAGCTGCGTGAAGGAAGACGTGAAAGAGACAAGCGGAGCCAAGAAGCCCACAAACCCGATAACAGCCACCCACATCAATGGAGACATGAAGGGAGACAAGCGGTGACAAGAGTGCAGGCTTCAAAGCACATGTTCAAGAGGAATATTCAGAACAAACTTGAGTTTGCATGGGGGCAGTTGTGTTTTACTGTAATGGACATGATTATTCAGCTTGCCGGTGTGTTGATCAACTACGACCAGAGATCTGGAACGGAGGTTCGAACAAAAAGTTCGGGGGGCGATTTGCAAGCTTTTCTTCGTTTTCAGTTTCGAAGAGGCGCGTGTTGCTCGGTCCAGAAAAATTCTCAGCGAATGCGAGTGTGTTTTTTCTTGCTCGGTTCATTTGCTCTGTTACCTGCCACCCCTTCCGCATGCTGGTTGGGAACCGGCAAACCAAACGCTTTGATCCCTGAGGTCGCGATTGCTGCGGGTGATGGGGTGCATTTAGAATCATTCAAAAATGTGCTTTTGCATGCCGGCCTTTTGGGCTTGTCAGTCAGGGCTTTCAGCTCTGAATAATGTCCCTTGTGTTGACAGCTACATGTTTCAATTTCTCATGGGATTGCTTTTGGCATGTTTTCTTGAGTTTTGAGAGAATAACTTTGGTCATCGATTCAAAAAGGCCTGGCAACTAGATTTTCTGGTTTTGCAACAAATAAAAAAACAGCCCGACAAAGAGACCTTAATGATCTGTATGTTGTTGTCATTCTCGAATATGTTTTGGACATGCATTTGGGTTTTGCTGTGCCCCTCGATCCTAAATATGCTCGGTGCGTGTTGTGCTTTCATGTTTTGGAACAACGTCATGAGGCCGTTTCCTTTTACCAAGCGCGTCGGGAACGAACATGACCTTTTCTTCCATGATTTTTGTTCGTTGGAGCGTGTTGTTGGACTGATATGCATCCAGCTGACATCCTGGACCACGCCATCTTTGCAGCACAATCAATTTGCAGATGTTTTGCGAGTTTTTGTTGTGCGTTTGGCTTGTGATTCGCATGAGTTCAGATGCTTCTGCTCAAACTACCAGGCAGTCTCTAGCCTTGGTATCTGGCACTCTTCCACCAGCAGTTGCAATCATGTACTTCGGCCTGAGCCTCCTCAGCCTCTTCCTCCTACCTTTTGGATTGGCAGCTGGTGGCTCAGTGTCGTCAGTCTCCTTGTCAGCCATTGGTGCTGACGGCCAGGCTGTCACTACTGGAAATCAGCTTCAAGCAATCGACATTTCCTTCACGACTGGTTCCAGCGGTACGAGCGAAGTGTACATCGAGGTTCCTGCTGGGTTGATCAGCGTGTCGGGAACAAGTAGCTTGGCGTTCACCTCCGTCAACCAAACGACAGTCACCTACACAACTACCACCCGGACAACGACTTTTGTCGATGGCTCCGACGATTCGGATAATGCGACGACGCAAACAACCACCACTACTCCGCCTGCCCGCCGCCTTCAGGCGCGAAGGTTGGCTGGTAATTGCGAAGTCACAGGCGCCAGCATCACTGGCACGACAATGACCCTCAACGTCGAGGATGGGGCGAACCCAGGAAGCCCATGTCCCGCAGGGTCCACTGTTTCCACAAGCATTACACAAGACTCTGGGGGATCAGCTACTTTCAACAATGCCCCCGCTGGCACGATCAGCTTTACAGTGGCAACCAACACAGACACAATTGTAGTTCCCGTTGCGCTCAGTCCAGATGGCAGCGGTGGTTTCACCGTGTCCGTGGTCGGTGACCCCATCACGTGGTATGGTGGGAAGAAGATCAAGTTTTGGTTTCCCAACTACAAGCTCATGCCAATGCTCAAAACGCCCGAGATGACGATTTGGGCAAGCACTTTCGAAGGCCCGACCGTGGACTACCAGTGGTTCGAGCGTTTCGTGCGGCACTCGGCATCTTTGTACTTAGTGGCTTGATGTTGTGGTGCTAAAGCAAATATTGAGCCAAGCTGCAAGCATGCCAGGTCGTTACATCGTCAAACGGCAATGAACTCGTCGACGTCAAAGTCCGGCACATGCACCCGGGCATGAACAGAAGCCACTTCCGTCGAGGCAAGGTGCGCTGTTAGGCGTGAGTTGCTGGCGTTGCTGACGGTGAAGACCTTGTGACATGCCAGGTGACTTCAGGCAGTCGCTTGTCCACCAAATTCGACATCTTTCATAGTGGCCCTAAAAGCTGTTGTGACTGAAGCTCTGCTTAGGTTAGACATCCGCCTGCAGGGCTCCAAGCACCTGCGTTCCCATGCTCAGAAGTTGTTTGCATCCGCTGATGGGCTTCTTGGCTTGTACAGAGAGCATGACCGAGCTTCTTCTGGGAAGGTGCGTTGGCGGGCGAAAACCCGGAAACTGTCGACTTATTAGGCTACGGCAGTTTGCCTGGAGGAGTTTCGAGAAACACGAAGGTATTTTCCACTGTTCACATGGCAAATGCATAGATTCGGGCATGTTCGTCAGCTTTTGACTGAGGAAGGTGAAGATTGGCGTGGGTGCCCGGGCTTACAACCCTCCACGTGTGCACTTCTCACCCTTGGTGCTCTGGTCGCATATGAGTCATATGATGACGTGTTAAGACAAAACAGAATGCAAGTAAATTGTGGCTGTGCAACACCCTTCTCAGGTGGAGTTTGTGATGGTTGAGCCCTTGAGATGCACAAGTTAACACTTAGGATTTCTCAGGAATACCTAGGATCTGCAAGTGGCGTGAGAGTGTGCCATTTGCTGAGGAGTGAATCGATATCCTTCATGGTCCATGCTTCACATGCTGGAGCAGAGTTTCCCACCGATGTTGGCAAACAGGCACCCTTCCACTCGGATCGGTGACCCAAGCTGCTTGACTGCGAACGCGCTCGCCAGGTCAAATACACACACCTGGACTGGATCAACCTGGACATGATTTCGGTGACTTGCCTTTCGTGAGAAGCCGTGCTCCATGCCCCCAATCAAGTGCTGCCTGAACATGCCTCAACATGCCTGGACCAGCCTGAGTGATATCAACACCAGGTCACCAGTCTGATGTGAAGCTAAGGCCAAGAACTTTGGAGGCATTCTTCCTCAGCTCTTGGGCTGCAGGGCAGTTCTCGTGGAATCGTGCGGGGGATCCGATACCTGCCTGAGGCTCTGGGGTGTCATCCCACGCACGGCAGAGGTTGAGGAGATGCTCATCGCCCCCAGCAAGCGTGAATCGGAGGTCGTATGCAAAGAGCTCTCGACGCGTGCCTGCAAGTGTGTTCCCTCGTGTCGTTTCTTTGCGGCTTCTTTGCCTTGAGCTTTGCCTTGAGCTGTGCCCTGAGCTTTGCCTTGAGCTTTGCCTTGAGCTTTGCCTTGAGCTTTGCCTTGAGCTGTTCCTTGAGCTGTTCTATTCTGGGAGGTTTCTCTGTGTGCAGCTAAGCGAGGTCTGAAAGTCGTGGCCACGTGTGCGGTCTGGCGAGTCAGTGAGTCTTTCCTGTCCGCTGCGCTCGTGACAGACCCTGTGTAGTGATGTTCTGGCCATCGCTGGCTTCCGGTGACTTCTATGAGATGTGCTGGATGTGACAGTGGAGCGTCTCCGGTAATGCCTGGGGCAGCGCTCCTGTCATCAGACAGGGTCATGTCGTTTGCACCAAACTTGTGCCCACTTTGAGCGCACTCTGCGCATGACATGACTGGGTGTCGGCAAATCTGTGTCAAAATGTTTCAGAGGCAGCGGGCGCTGGGTAGCTTTGAGGGTGGTAATGCGGACAAAGCGAGATGTCTGTCTCCTGCTTAAGGGCAGCCATCCCTCGAACAGTTGGCCCTTGTACTACAGTCTTTGTTAAAGAGGGATGGCAAATTTCATACGCAGGGGCTGTTAGGAAGCGTTGCGAATGACATCATGTATTTGGTGAAGCTGGCTTCGGCAAAGGTTTGGCTGGTGGGTTCCATGTATTGTGGTGGTTCGAGTCAGAGAGACAGAGAGAGTACGCTGAGTAGAAGCGGAAGAAAAAGCAGCAGAGACACCGAGCGTGCCACGTATGGTCTTTCGGAACCCTGATCGCTTCAAGGAAGGAATGAACTGAGGACGGAAGGGAGTACAAACAGCAGAGATTGGCTCGTCAAAGCAGCAGAATCTAGCGTTACAGATAGCATTTTGCATTATGAGGACAAGGCTCCCCAGCCTTTCTGTTGAGCAGGCAGCGACGCAAGGGGCACGAGCGAACTTCTCCTGAGCTGTACACGGCCCTAGCGAGCCCTAGTGCGAGTGGACTCCCCCCAGACATAGAAGCCTTCACAAATTCAACACCCATGCCGGCTCCTTCTCTTGCCCAAGGCTGGGCCCAGGATCTGTCGATCTGTGATTCGCATCTATGTCTGGGAGCTGCTCCATTGGGTGTCATGACAGTTTGGAGAGCTGTCGGGTTTGCGAAGTTTGCGTATCCGTACCGAGTGCCCATGTTGCTCCCGCAAGGCTCACAGGCTTTCCCTTACTCGCTAAGCCGCCGATACCTCCAGAGAGCTGCCAAGCACACGGCCGACCTTCTTCCAAGCTGAAGCTCGGAATTCTTGGCAGGCCAATGCAGGGTCCTCGAAGTCCCGATGAAGAGCAGGCTCCGGGATATCTGGGACCGATAGAACGCAGCCTTAATGCGTGGCATTTGCAGCAGTCACCATGCAAGCTTCTTTTCGAGGCTGCAGTGCAGACAGTGTCAGGTTTGTAGCGCCACGTGTTTGTGCCCTCGGGCACTCGAAGCTGAAGGTCGTGAGTGCTCCTCGAGCGTGATGCATCAGTATACATGCTGCGCGAAGGCTGAGCTGGATGACTTTCCTGTGGAGGCGCCGCTCTGTCTTTTTGGAGCTGTCCCGAGTTTGTGAGAGGCGTTCGTGAGCTTGTGAAAAACTAATCTGAACAGTGTATCATCCTCATGGCTGACTCTGAAGGGCTTTCTCCGCTTCTTTCGTGAGAAGAGGACGGACCTCTTGCGACAGTCGGGGTGGGGCCACTCAGAAGCTTAGCGTGCCAGTGTAACACTAGTGTAGCTGTGCATCCTGCGTGGCCTGCAGAATGCCTAGTGCTTTCGAGTCCAAGGCTGCATCTTCTGGCGCCGAACCGAGCACGTTTAAGCTCGCAGGCCTGGGGCAAGCGTTTTCTCTTGGATTTTCGCATGTTGCTTCATAGATGTATGGCGAGAAGGAGTGCAGCCGCAGGCCCGCATGTTTTAGGAAAGATCCCTTGAAGGCTGCTGAAGCTTGGAAGAAGTTGAGCCCAGACAGTCCCGTGGCCCAGCTCCTGCGATTTGGCTTGTGAGCCCGCTGGAACTTCCGGAGCTTGAGTCTTGCTGTTGGGGGATCTTGCTTTCAAAAACCATTTTGGTGGGTGGCGCGCAGCATGCTGTTGTGGTCTCATGGGTGTGCAGATGTGTGCAGCTTAGTCGGAGGACAATTGGTGTGAGGGAGGGTCTTCTGGCTCCGGTGCTGAGGGCAGCGTCAATATCAAAAGGATGCCTTGGCGGCCGCGCGCCTCAGTTCCATGCATTGGCCCGGTTCTGGTGGGGGGGGTCCCCTTTGGTTCACGGGGCCCCCTTGTTGCAAGGTTCACGCCAGCACCGCGCAGGAGGAGGACTTGCATTCCTGGAGTTTGTCTTCATGCTTTCGTTCTTCTTGGAATCTAGGATTTGTTGGTCTTTGCCGCCTTGCTTCTTTTCCAGGATGCGGCTAATGTCGTGCGCACAAAGACAGAAAATATTCAGAACCATGCAACGACTCAAACAAGAAGTGGGGTGCTGTTGGGCATTCTGCTTTCGGGGTGTCGACGCCCGCTGTTGCTCCTAGGACATCCAGTGCGACAGCGCAGACGAGGCCGAAGAGTTGGACAGGCAGAGCTGTGCGGAGCATGTTGCAGATGCGGCGTGAACAGCTGTTACTGGTCTCTCATGGAATCTGGCATACGTTAAGGCTTTAAGGCGTGTTTGTTCAGCACGGGCACACCAAGTCACAGTACACTCATGTCCTGGATGTCTTACTTTAGACTTTAGACGTCTCAAGCCCCTCTTTTCCCAGTCTGCCGGTGAGAAGATCGACTTGGGAAGTGGGCTTCAACTTCTCAGCCAGTATCTTCCCTCTTTTCCTCTGCAGTCCCTGTCTTGCTGCTGTCGGCTCAGAGTTAGACGACAACTCATTGGCCAAAAAGGGGCGGAGGGGGGGCACGGGAGCTGAGCCCACCAGACGTGCGACGGATGCTCGGACGGCATTGCGCAGCATTGTGGGTCGTTTTTGGATGGAGAAGTCAATCAAAGGTGCGTCTCAAGCCTTTTTCAAGAAAGAAGGTGTGCCTTCCGAGCACTTGCCCCTAAGCTTTCCAGCCGAGGGCATGCTTCGGTTGGGGCCATACCCGCCCCCGCTGTTCGACATCTCCGACCCCGAGGACTCATTCTTTCTACCCAGTTTCGACCTCTTCCCTCCTTCAGTCGTCGGCTGTAGGTGCATGACTGTGCAAGTGTGGTTCAGAAATTGAGCACTTCTGCAGGAACTATGGACAGAGAAGTTCGAACACGTTCCGATCCTTGCCAGCGACCTTGAATCAAGTGCCCTTGGCCCAGCATCTGCGGGGTTGACAGCATTTGACAGCCTGCCATTTGTTGACCAGCAACCAAACAGCACATTGAAAGTACATCCAAGTTGAAAATCCAAAATTGGGTTTCCAGGTCGCTTCCCCGTTGGATGACCCGTTGGAACCACGATGCCTGGAGATTTTGGAGGCCCGGATTGCGCAGGGCACGAGGCATGCGAGGCATGCAGGATGCAGGGCATTCAGCATTGCCGGCTCTTGGGGTGTCCAAGCATTGGCAAGCCTTGGGTGTAGAGCTCCCAGGATGCATCGGACCCGTGTTCTGCATCTCCCAAGCCCGAGTCAGCACCAAAGCCAGGCAAAACCCGAGTCAGTGCAGGACTGAACTCCGTCCTAGTTGGGAGACTCCAGTCCTGAGCTATCTGAGCTATGTGGAGTGGCGTGAAAGTCTTGCATGCAGGCATGACGCTGGACTCTACTTAACATATCGGTTATCAACTCATCGTGCTTCGTGGTTTGCCAAACCCCAATTCAAGCTTCAACAAAGACCCTTGTCAAGTTCAGTAAACTGCAGGAGCACATCAACGCCGTGCTGGGCTTCAGCACCTTCCGAAGACTTGGGCAGGCTCATGTTTGAGTATTCTCTTCTCTCTGATCGGCGGAGTCTCTTCACCAACAGCGGCATAATAACACAGAGCGGCATCCCCCCCTAACAAAGGGGTTCCCCCCTTTTCATGAATTGTCCCTAAACAGAGTCCCACAGCCGCCCCCCCCGAGCAGCGGAGGTGCAGGAAGCCAATGTTCCCTCAGAGCTGGAGGCTGAGCGGCGCGAGGATCCGGCGGGGGTGTTCTTAGGGTTTGGGCTCGGGAGGGTACGGGTGTGCTTATCTTGGTTCTTTTCAGTCTTTTTTTTTTTTTTTTTTTTGGGGGGGGGGGGGCTGAGACACAGAATCTTATGAACGCCGGGGTCCCGGTCCATTGGGGCTTGATCCAACACATGGGGGCCAGTTGAACTTCTTGAACTATAAGGAATACACCACAAGAGCCCATAGTTCAGATGATTCCTTGTAGAAAGGCCCTTCAGCAGGGACTCCAAGTGTTAAGAACGCCATGTAAGTTGGGGGCCGAAGTCCGTTCCTGGTGAACCCTTACACCGGGCATCCTGTCGACGACCCGTGACACCCCGCTGATGTTGCCATTTCTTTGATGCTTTTGCTGTGACTCTGCTGCTGCCGCGCTGAAAGAGAATCCCATATCCCGACAGATTGCCAAACCATCCAAACCCATTATCAACCATCATCAAGATCCAAAGTTCCGATGAGCCGAGAGCTGATTCCAGGAGCTGCATGAGCGGGCGCTGGAGGCCCTGAAGGCTGCGAAAGGGTCATACGTTGCGGGGCCACGCATCCCAGACGGCCTCAACCTCGACCCCCCCAAATGCTGTAGCCCAGGGCGCAGTGCAGCGGCGGGCTGCAGAGGCGGCCACGCCATTCCTCGTCTGCGATGATTCAACTGCTCGGGTGTTGCTCAGCGTTGCTGTTTCTTTCTTTGTCCCAGGAGAAGTATGCTGAGACGGCTGCGGCTGCGGGAGTGCTGCAAGCAAGCCCGCAACTCTCTGTGACGCCTGCGCCCCGCGGGGTCATGCAGGGGCTTTGCCGATCTTGCCGCCTCTCGACATTCCCTGCACGAAGCCATGAGTGGTATCCGGGTCCGGTGCAGACTCATATGTGGCCTCAGCTCCCAATTGGTTTTCCGGTGCGTTTCAGGTCGGTGACGACTGGAACGCCCTCCTCTTCTCAATCCGAGGTTCTTGCCTCCCAACCTCACAGTGAGGTTCTGTGATCTGGGAATGATGTGGTAACGATTTTGCTGCCTTCGCTGCCGTCTGTGCTCGTTGCATGTCGCCGCTCCAACCTGACCAGCGCGCTTTGAATCACAGTTTGAAGCAGGTTGGTAGCAATGGCGGAGTGGAAGAGGACACAGCCGAGATCTCAGCAGCTTGACAGTGGCGCGTCAGCCATCGCTTCTCTATAAACTCTGGGATCAATCTAAGCCGTCTGAACCCCGACCCCTCCCGAATCCTGAAAGCACTAAACTAGCAAAGTTCAGGTTGGAATGTCAGGGAGGTTCTGAGCTTTTGGAAGCATCCTTTCTCGGAACATTGTGGGATCGCATCGGAATATCCGAGTATCACCACAGTCCCTGGCCGGTGCTCAGACCCGCAATCTCTCACTTCGAAGGAAAAGAAGGCAGAGACCAAAGGCCGCAGAACCCGAATTCTCTGAGGCCTGGGAGGACCATGTCCACTCGCAAATTCGCTGGGCCGCAGAGGCCTGGGCACCCAGGGCTTTTCAGTCTGTTAGGTTGTTTTTGTTTTTTTTGTTGTGTTAGTTGAGTTGGGAGCAATGTTGAGGCGCGGGATTGTTGGAGGAGATGTAGTCCAAACAGCCCTCTGACCAGCCGTTGCCTTGACAGGCAGCGAAGTTCCGCCAGGCAGGGGCCCGGGGCAAGCCACGGCTGTTGAAATGGCAACTCCTGCCTCTCCGCCCGAGCAGTTGGTACTCCTGTCTCGAGGACGACCCCACGGTGCCTTGGGTGGAAGCGCTACGGGGCCTGGGTCCCCCTGGCCAATTCGAGGCAGGGCGACGAGGAAAGAGCTCAGGGAGCAGGGCGACGCAGAGTGGTTGAGCCGAAGCTGGTGGTTGCAGAGAAGATAGGTCCAAGATCTTGATCGCCAGACCCTTTGATGCCCCTCGTCTTCTTCCCATCCTCCCGTCGGCGAGGGCTGTAAGAGTGTAGATTCTGTTTCTGCACTACTTCTGGTGCCGAAGTCTGCTCTGCTTCAGGCCACCTCGGCTCAGATTCGCGCTGCGGAGTACTTTCAGGAGCAGCAAATGTACCTTGGCTGCTGAACTTTGCAGACACGAGGACTTCGTGGATTGTGTGGTCCTTGTACGAACAAGTTCTCGCCATATATAAATAATGCGCGACAGCCTTGCCATGGCCGGCAAGTGGCACTTCCAGGACTCTGTTACACCCTCTCCTCAATCCTTCGCAATCCGACCCTGACCCTGAAGCCCAAGATCCGGAAGAAGGGAGGCCAGAGATCCCCCCGAATCCCTTGAAGAGCCGTCCGAAAGTTCCTGTGCCCCGAGGTATGAGCAATACCTCTTGGAGTTGCAGCGTTACCAGCAGGCCTAAGAGAAGGGGAAGCGACGTGCTGGGTCGGTTGCATGTCTTCATGGGAGGCTCAGGTATTGATTGAAGTTAGAGTTGGGAGGGCGCATCCAGATGAGCAAGGTCGGGGTTTAAGATTGTGCTGCCAGTGACATGCCCGATTTGCTGCTAAAAGGGTTCAGTAGCCGTGATGGCGTGTGTGCACTGTCGACGAGTATGGGAGGCACTTGGAAGGCATGGGCTGCAATTGCAACAGAAGCTGGCGCAGACACGCCTCTGCATCTGGAGAGCGGCCATTGGGGGGTACACTCATTCTCAGAGGTGTGACGGGTGGCCAATGTTGTCCCTTCATGGTCTTTGGGCTAGGCGCAGTTTACCATAGCAGGCTAGAGTTTCAAAACTGGATCTACAGAACTTCCGGAGTTCAGAAGCGGAATGTCGATCTGCCCATCCAAGGATGCAGCATGGTGCCTCCTATGCCGAATCGAACCTCATGCTGCCTGGACTGAGATGATACTGGATGCCAGTAGGACGGAAATCCATGAGGCTTGCATCTGCTAAATCCGATAGTTAGTTGACACTTCTTAAGTAGAGAGAGAGAGAGAGAGAGACAGAGAGAGAGAGAGAGAGAGAGAGCGAGAGGGAGAGAGAGAGTGAATGAGAGAGCGAGAGAGAGAGCGAGAGAAAGAACGAGAGAGAGAGAGAGAGTCACCAACGGACTGTTCGGCGGGCCAGCGCGGCCAGGGCCACCCTAGGGGGGCCTCTTCGCTGAGCAGAAGAAGAAGAATAAGAAGAAGAAGCAGAAGAAGAAGAAGAAGAAGAAGAAGGAGAAGAAGAAGAGGAGGAGCGAGAGAGGGAGAGGGGAGCTGACATAGAGGAATGGGAGCCAGATATTGCGGTCGGATGTTGGTCTAGTGGTGGTGTGTTTTCCAGGGGGGTCGTGTCACAGACTCGGTGTACGCTCGCCTTCGGGCGGCCCCCCTCTCCCGGGGTGGGGGGCGGGCATCTGGGCAGGAAGGAAGGAAGCAGCGAGAGAGAGAGGCCCTTGAGCAGGTGGAAACACCCCGGCAGACTTGCCTCGGGGCAATCCTCTAGCTCCAATACATAAATACATGAAGGGATAATGAACGCAAGAGCTAAAGAAAGACAGAGAAACAGAAAGACAGGAACGAATAACATTAATGACTAAGTGCATAAAGAAGGGAACAACTAGATACAGAAACAATTGGATCAAATATCAAGCACACACCGAAATAAACACCAACAACTAAACAACTAAAGAAATATCGCAATGAATAGCAAATACATGACAAGACACATCACAAAAGAACGATGGGCGTAAACAAAGAACAAGGCCAAAATAGACACGTAATTCAGGAACTGAACAAAGAATTAAAGAACGACATGCCAAGACAGACAATGCCAAAAAGAAAGAAACAGCGAACAACACAAATGACTGAATACCCGAAGGCATGAAATAAAACAAAGACGAAATGAATCAATTCCTAGCAAACAAATCAAAGAGAAAGCAAGAGAGTGAAGGGTCTTCGCCCTTTCGGCTCAACTGTCAATCCGAGCCCGCCCTTGATCGGAGATCAAAGGGTTGTACTCCTTCCCACACCATCGTGTTTGACTACTAGGCTGCTGCTCTACGGGTCTTCATGCCGGGAGCCCTTTTTTTTGGCCTCCCCGTGCACAGTACTGTTCGGGGGACCGTTGCCGGCCCTCTTCTACTCTTGCCCCACCCCGTGGGTGTGGCCCTGAACTACCTGACCCTTGGCCGCCCGTCAAAGATGGCTGAGTTGACCTCACGCCGACCAAGTAGGCGGACAAGATAGATCTGTGCGGTCCATGAGAGAAGAGGGCCACCGTGGAAGGCTTCATGAATGGTTGAAGGTGTTCCCCCGCATCGTCGCAGGATTCCCAAGTACAAGTGGGGGACCAATAAGATCAGACAGCAGACAACAGTGGAGAGACCCGTTTTGGCGTGCAGCCACAACCAGCACCTGCAAATCCAACGTGACATGGGCATTTCACTTCACGTTCGGGCATCGTCTGGGTCTAGAGAGTCTGGAAGGTCAGGGTGGCCAGCGCAGCGGCCAAAGTCCTGTAGCAGTAGGGGGATTAACCTGTGCCGCGTGGACGTCGAGCCGCAGAGCAACCGCCGAGCATCCCCAGTAAAGTGTGTTCTGCGTGGCACTACCTGCGCGCTGTGTTAAAGTTTGCGATGCTAGTAATCTTAAGCGTGTCGTGTTTTCACAAGAAGCCCTGAAGATCAAGCAAGACAAAGGGGCTTCCACTGCACCCTTCTGGCCTTTCCGCTGTCCACCTCCAATATTGGACCACACAGGAAAAAAGAGTTCCAGCGGGCAAACACGGGGCCCACACACAACGAAGCTTACTCGTCTCGCCTGGCGACGCATACCAGCTCTTCTGATGATCTCAAGTCCAATTGGCCAAATCAGCTGTCCCTTGGGAGGTCCGGATCCCAAGTCGTGGAAGCGGGCGAACCTAAAATCCTTCGTGTAAGATAGGAAAGCTGGGGCAGAGGGAACACCAAAAGATTCCCTCAGTTGCATGTTTTTTCCGTTTCCCCCTTCGTCCCACAATCTTGTTTTGCTTTGCCAGCCGCGGGAAGAAGAGGGGTCTGGGATCTTGTTTGAGCTTTGGTGTCCTGTTTGTCCGTACAGTCTGCCCGTACACATACCAACAACACCTTACCGTTCCAGCTCACCTCGCTCTCATGTATACGGGCAGGGGAAGGCAGTGTCACAAATCGTGTGTTGGCAGCGGCTCTCGGCATGAGGTCCGCGCAGCTGGCGCAGTACCGGCTGTTGCAGGAGCGCGCCCAGGCTCTGCGTTCTCCTTGTGGCTCCCTTGGAGGTTCTTTTCCAGCTGAAGTCGAGGTTGCCCCTGTAAGGTGCAACTGTCACAATTCTCTCAGCAATTGGCGAATTCCTCGATGCCCCTGAGCTCAGATCGGGGAGGCTTTCAGAGCGGCTTTTTGAGGAACCTCGATGCCCATGACCTTTGCAGAGTGCTCGTGCCAAGCCAACACTTCGGAGAGCCGCCAGAGGTAGTACCTAGTAGTGGCTGCATGAAGGATGGCTGCAAAGGTTTCTGAGGTGCCAAGTTGAAAGTGCTACCGCCGTTGTCCCGAGGCTTCCGGTTGCGGTCTCAGAGCTCCAGAACGTGATGCCAAATATGGGAAAGCAATCTGTACATCTGGAACTCTGGAACCCATGCTTCAGTGCAATCAGGCAGCTGCAACTGGGTTTGGTGATAGGGGGTCGGCATCAGTGATCCTTTAGGAGGTGTAGGGTGTAGAGAGGAAACATGTGTCCAAAAGTGGGTACAGTGTGTCAAGTGTGTGTCGAGCATGCTGTGCAGTGCGCTGCCCTGCATGCTGTCACCTGCCCTTGCGGCTCACCGACCGCAGCTCATTTCTGTTTCGCGTCTACACGGCCTTCGGCTTCCGCGCAGCATGTCGAAGGAGGACCCCAAGCTGGGAGGGTGGAACGTTCTGTGGTGAAGGTGGCGATGTTTTGGCACATGGATCCTAGCCAATCCCCAACAACTGCGAAGTCCATTGTCAAGACCCCGTGAAGGTCAAGAAGAACTTCCACGAGTGTGAGAGCGAGCAAGAGCGAGAGAGAGAGAGTCCCAACCATCCATTGGCGGAAGGTCAAGTGCAAGAGTTGTGGCAACGAATTCCTGGACGACGCACTCTTCTGCCGAAAGTGCGGCACGAAGCGCGACGATGTGGTGGAGGTGCGACTGATTGTGGCAGCGGTGGTGGTGGTGGTGGTGGTGGTGGTGGTGGTGCGGATCGGCGGCAGAGTTTACGGTGCAGGTTTGACTACTTCCAGTCAAGTCCCAAACTTCCAAAGGATCACATTGTTCTCCTTCACTTATACAAACCCTAAACTCAAACTTGAGACGTCGGTGGCGGGCGCAGTGGCTTGACTTGGAGGTTCTCGTGCTGGAGGTACAGCAAGGCTTTTCCAGTTTGATGTGCAGCAGTTTGCCCAAAGCCTTTAAGGCCCTTAACCCTGAACCCGATTCACCAAACTTGCACCCACGTTGAAAAGATCACCGCAGGTCGCCGTTAGCAAGCACTTGTACCTTTACCTGAAGCTTTTCGAAGTTTTGAAGCAATCCGAAAGACCAAAAGACTTGACGCAGCAGTATCCTTCCTTGCTATAGGTGGTGGCATGAAAGGCTGAAGAAGTGAGCAGCAGAAGACGTTTCAAGCTTCCATGGTACCCTTCTTGACTCCATCGCCCCAAAGCAGGACGAGCTGCCAGACTTCGACGACCAGGAGGCGAGTTCTGTCCGTTTGCCATTAAAAGAAATTTTGGGGTTGATTTTGAGGGCTTGGGGCCTTTTTTGGAGGCACTTTTTGCGGATTTTTCTTTTTTTTTTTGGGGGGGGGGGGGTTCTTCCGCTGATTTGTGGATGCCAGGAAACAAAGAACGACGACAGCAAGGAGGCCGAGGCCATCTTCGAATTCATTTGGTGCATCTTTTTTGGGGGGTCATCCGGGTAGGCTGAGTGCTCGGTTTGAAAAGTGCTGATCAAGTTTCATTTCGGAGCACAACTTGCCGCACTTGTTGCCCTTGCATCCCCATCGCTGCGATTTTGGGCCAGGCAAAGAAGAACCAGGTTGCTCTTCACGCCTCCGGCTTCAAGGACTTCCTGCTGAAGCAGGGCACCCCAGCATGCTGAGGGCTGGGTGAGAAGGGCAAAAGTGCACGGGAAGTAAAAACACACCGGGTGCCTGGGAAGAAAGGGGGAAGAATTCCCTCGAACTTTCTCGGGGGTGCCAGGGCCGAGCTGATCCGAGCCATTGTGGATTGCGGCTTCGAGCACCCCTCAGAGGTGCGCGGCTTCCGAGGTAGATTCATAGATCGGCTACCCGCACTGGCCAACTCTGCATCAGACTGCAATCTCAGAACTGCACCTGACAAAAACATCCCACACCTAAAGCTGTGCCCTGACCTGGCATGTCACAACTGGAGGTGCAGCACGAATGCATCCCTCAGGCGGGGTCAAGCCGTGGGAGCCGATGCACCAACTTTCCCGTTAGCATCATGTTCCCAGCTTTCAGAGACGTGCGCCCCCATACCACCAGCACGATGCTTGCACGCTTTTGTCCCTGCGTGGTCTCGATTTCGGAAGCGGCAAGAGCACCCCAAGATCCCTAAAGATCCATCAGTCTCCAGAAGAATACAGAAGAACCGCAAGTCACCGAGAACCCCTCTGGGTCGAAAGGCCATCCTCGGAACGGACGTGCTGTGCCAGGACAGGGTCGTGTGGGATGTTGGGATGTTGTCGGTGCGGGGGAGGGCCGCAGCGCGACACAGCCCAAAGCGCCAATAGTGTAACCGCATCTAAGCTGGCTGAAGGGATTTCCATGACCATCAGGCGAAGTCCGGCATGGGCAAGACCGCAGTCTTCGTCTTGGCCTGTTTGCAGCAGGCCAGCAAGTGTGGAGTTGTGGAGTTTCGTCCCCCCCTCCCCCAAAACCATGATCCATGTCTCTCTCGTTCCCGACCCTCGGACATTTCCTGGCGCAGGTTGATGCGTCCGAGAAGGCTGGTAGTTGCAGCCAATTAGTGTGCATTCTTGCTGCAAGCTGTCAGCACCGTCTACAGTACGTGTGCTGTGCTTGTTGCAGCGCGCTTGCGCGGGGTTCCAGTTGGATATTTCATCAGCGCCGTCTACAGTCTACGGTAGCAGCTGCGACGAAAGCATTGATCACGTTGGCGCTCTGGCTCCCTGCTCCGGTGCAGGCCGTTCGAACTCTGGTGATCTGCCACACTCGCGAGCTGGCGCATCCTGCCGTGAGGGAAATGCGAGAGTCACTTCAAGGGCTTTGCTTAGGATTTCAGATGAGAGATAGATCCGAGTTGAAGAAGTATGCCTTGGAGTTGGGAGGCTTGGGATTCTTGGTCTCGCGGGAGGTGAAGTACCGTTTAAAGAAGAAGGTCATTTTGGGCCCAAACAGACCGCAAGCGTACTTCCATCACAAATCGCCCACGCTTCCCAGAAGATGTGGCAACGAGGCGTGATGAGTTTGAAACAGGAGGCGCTGAGCCTTCAAACTTAAGCCCTGCAGCCCTGAACCCCACTCCGGTAGCCCCGAGCCCGACCCAGGTACCAGATCAAGCACGAGTTCGAGCGGTTTGCAAAGTACTTCCCGGCAGGGGCCTCAGCCGAGCCAAGTGGAGCACGGCCAAGTTAAAAAGTCTGTGGTCAGCCTTTGCTTCTCACTAGTGCCGGACTATGTTGCTGTTGGCATTTTTTTGTGCATGGGTTTCGAGACGTGTTGTAAGGGGCCTTCTGGTGTTCAAAGCGAGTCCTGCGGTAGTAGTTGGCTTGGCAATATTTGGGGTACCAGGGGTACCCAGAAAGACGACCAAGAGTGTGAGTCTGAGGATGTAGGAATTTGCAGGGTCTGCGGAAACCTCACAAGGTTGGAGTTTAAAGGCCCACGGGGTGCCTTCTCTTCTGCATTTCGCAAGCAGAGCCGCTCTAGCCTATTACCAACGAAGCATTTTCCTGTGCGTATGTGCCGTGGTGCATGCGCCTAATCCAAAATTGAGCCTTACCTCTGCTGCTTGCACACACAGTCGGAGTCTTGCCCAGTGGGTGGGTAGAGTCCCTCACCCACAGTCGGGAAGTGAAGGGGGCACGGCACATACGTCGAATTCACGACGTGGCCCAAGGAGATCAAGCCGGGCGTGGTGTACGGAGGCACTCCCATGCAGAATGACAAAGACATGCTGAAGGCCTGTTGTCGGTGTTGTCGTGAATGTCCGTGAGTTCGAACATGCCAGCAGAGTTCTGCGTTCCAGGACAAGTGCCCGCACATTTTGATCGGTGTCTTGGCACTGCCTTGAAGGTGGAAGGTGCGTGAGTAGTAATCGTAGTGTGCACCGCAACAAGTAGGGATTGAAGTATTAATTTGATTGCATAAAAAGTGTCTGGTCTGTATCACATGCTTTCAATGCTATCCTTTCTGCCATCTGGCCCTTTTGGCTTCAAAACATTGCAGGCTCGTCCTTGTTGAACCAAGTTGAGCCTGCCGGCAGTTTTGAAATCCGCTAGTGTGCCCACATCCTGAAGCACCACACCCCGGCAAGTGCTCGTCCAAGGCACTCCTGGCCGCATCTTGGCACTCCTCCGGGAAAAGGAGCCGATGAAAGGGGGCGTCCTGCCAGTTTGTCTAGAGTTCATCGTTTTCTTGGTTCCAGAGGCCCAGGGTATGTGCCAAAGCGTGAGCAAGCTTCAGGGTGTCGTGTATGGTTCTCGGCGCAGGAAAGGATGTGGGGCTCCGATTGCTGGTGACATGCTCTTTTTTTCCAGCTGCATGTTCATCGTGTGGCATCTTGCTCCCACAAGCCCCAGCAGCATAGCGGTGTATAGTATGCACCTGCCAAGAACGAGACCAGCAAGTGTTAGTGGGTACAGCACAGCACCCTACTGCACCCTACCGCACCCTACTGCACCCTACTGCATCCCGCAGCTGTGTAACTCGTCGTGACTCCAGCGGGCTGCGAATGCCCACGCTATCCAAAACGCAACCGTCGCACACTCTTGGGTGGTAGCTGTTGTAGCTGCATGTAGTAGGCCGGGCCTCAACCGCATGCCTCGGCATGGCGTGGTGCTTGTCATGCTGCTTGCCATGCTGTGGTCAGGCCAGGACTAGGGACAGAGTCGCTTCGGGAATCTTAGGGAACCTGAAGCCCAAGACCTCCATGGGTCAAGGGCAGCTTTCTTAACATCCACGAAGCCGGAATGGATATGTTGAAAACTGTGGTGTCGGTGCATCTTGAACCCGCTTCATCTTCTGGGGGCCAAAAACTCAAGCACTGCCAGGCCCCGTGAGGCCTTTCCTGGCACCCCGAGAGCCCGGAGCCTTTGTGGCCGCCCTTGCAGCGATCCCTGAGGACGTGCAGAGCTGAAGCACATGTGAGCTACCATGACTTGGACTTCCAGCTTCTTTTCTTGGTCATCGCATCGCGAGGATCGCCGGCGATTTCTGGCAGCAGTCGAGGCTTTCCGCTCGGAGCCGAATGGCCTGGAGTCGCTGGGCCCAATCTTTTCGGCTTTGTACTTCTGCCTCAGATTGGTTCGGCTGCGTAGGTTCCTGTGACTGTTACCTGGTTTTTTAACTGGCTTTTGCAACGGGTGGGGGCTGAACTGCTGAACTGCTCAAGGCTGTCACCCAGCCGCCCTGACCACAACAGGTTCGCTCTGAGCTGCCTCGAGCTGCTGGCGGAAGACCCACACCTTGTGGGCGGGGTGCTGCAGCCCAGGCAGGAGACTTTCTTGACCTTAAGGGTTCAGGTATGGTTCAGCTTATGGTGGAGATTGACATGTCCCTTGAGCTTCGGATTTTTGTCCGACCCGGTCTGGGCGTCAGGGAACCTTCAGGCCGTTGCCGCATGTCGCTACGTGAATCTTTGGGGCAAAAGCTTTACGATGATGATGATGATGATCATCATCATCATCATCAAGCCCCCTCCTCACCGGGTGCCCTGTAGAAATTATTATTTCTACTTGTAGCCGTAGCAGACTCTTGTAGCTCAGCAGCTCCCTGTGCCAGCACTGGAGCAGCAGCCTTGGCGTCCCTGGTCTCGGGCGCTGTGGAGGATCCTTCGGGAAAGGGTTTAGGGTTTAAGGTTTTTCGGGTGTTGGAGGAGTTTCTGCAGGGGGGGGGGGGGTTGAGCAAACTCATCGCCCGTTGCCGCATCCCAATCAAGTGTGGCCTGTGGACTTGGAGAATTGTAGAATTCTTCACGTTTTCTGAACCGCCACCTAAGATGTGCAAATCCTGTGTCAATCCTGGCGGCCGCAAGCCGCAAAATCTGCATCACCCTGGAACCCGCGGAAGGCGCGCTCTTTCGCCACCTCTGAGCAGCGCTGGCTGGCAGCACTTCTGCAGGCTTTAGCTGTAGGTATGCCTTCTTGGGGGTGGCTCCGCTGACTGGAACCCGAGAATTCCTAGAACTTAGAGCCTATAAATGTCACTCTGAATCTCCCATGTTCTCCTGTGCAAATATAGCTGAGGTGTGCGAGCAAGTGCAGCAGCTCTCAAGCTTCATGCTGCAGCTCAGATTCAGTTTGGTGTTGCTGGCGAAGTCTGTAGTGCCCAGGCAGCTGCCATGTTCTCTGTCTGTGAATTGCTTTTATAAAAACATTGTTTTGTTTTTAGTTTTTATAAAAACGATTCTGTCACTCCAGTCACTACCGTTTCGTTTGTGGCATCTGCAGCTTCGTCGACGTTTTTTTTTTTTGCTCTCAGCCTTCAACCACGCAAACCCCAAACCCCAAACAGCTCCCCGGCACAGCCTGCACCCCAGACTCTAGACTCCCGAAGCCCTAACCTCCAAACTCCGAACCCTCAAACGGCCTTATGCCCGAAGCCCCTTCGCCCGAAAGCTCTAGCAGCCGCAGACAGGCCGCACCCGTCTCACAGCGCAGCGAGGAGCGCAGAGCAAGGCAAACCTCCACGAGGGCGCTTCGCCAGGCCTGAGACCAGGAGAGCGAGAGAGAGAGAGAGAAGCTAACCCGAGTGCACGGGGAGGGGGAGACCATGGGAGACCCTTCCTCAGGCTCCGTAGAAGACGAAGAAGGGGCAGCTCTGCCTTCGGGGGGGGGCGAAGCGTGCAGAGAGAGAGAGAGAGGGAGAGCGAGAGAGCGAGAGCTGGGATCTAGCGGTTCGGGATGTTCGGCGATTCCAGGCTCACGGGTGTAGGGCCGTTTCGGGGGCATAGGGAGGAGGGTTTAAAGTGGGCCCTGGTGCAGCCTTCAAGAAGGGTGTTTTTTCAGAATGCAGGAAGACTCCGGGCTTTTGCATTGATAGAGGTTTCTTGCTGGTAGCTTGCCCTAGCTCATCACCGCATGCAGCGAGTAGACAGCTTGGTTCTAGAAGATGCAATGATCTCAGCTAATGTTTGTGCGAGAACCGTTCGTGCACTTAGTTCATTGTTTAAAGAACAACTACGTACTCTAGGTATGTGTAGGTCGATTTGACTGTTGCAGGCAAGCCCCGCCAAGACAAATAAGATCAAACGCTACTACCGTGCTTCGAGGCTGTCCGGGTCCTTGTTCGCGGCTCAGCTCTGCCAGCATGGTTTTGGTTCAAGTTGGTTCTGCCCTGTGTTGTACACATTCCCGGAACCGCTGGTGCATGTTCGACTGATGCTGTGGCTGCTGCTTCCGAGTGATGTAGCCGTTGCCCGCAGTGATTTGGGTTTTGGAGTGCAGGGGTGCGAGTAGTAAAGTTGTGGTGGTACCTTTTGGACTTGGCGCAAAGCCAGCATTGTTTGTGGCAGTTCGTGGGTGGTCACCAGCTTGAGGCTGGGGCGTCCAGGCGGCGGACGTCAGCGCTGCCGACACCCTCAGGTTGGCTCAGGAGGCCAGTTGTCCTCACCCCTATCATCCTAGGCAGCTCTATTCATGACAGGCCAAAGATATCAGCAGTATGCCAGCGCAAGAGCGTGGTCTTGCAAAGACTTGGCAGGCCAGGGACTAGGTTGAATGAATGTCCTTCTGCTGCAGGCACTCGAAGCCCAGCTGTGGGACGTCGTGTCCGACCTTGTCCAGGTGCGTTGTGGGGTGCCAGGCGTAAGGTTTGTGATGTTGCGACTCATGCAGGCAGTGTCAGATCGTCATCAGTTTAATCCGAGACTGCTTGCCAAGCATCCGAGGCCTTCCCTGCGCTCGCTGGCAACCTGAATCTTGCTGCCGTGTCGCCTCAGCCCCGTGGGCGACTGCAGTGGCTGCAACGGGAGGAGGGCTCCTTGCCATCAGGTTGCTGTTGCTGGTGGTGCATCTGCTGTCGTGGTGATACTGGTGATGCGCACCTCATGCTGATGATGTTTTGGATGGGGACGACCGGTCTCACTGTGCCCTCCCAAGGCGAAGCCCTCGGTGTGGTCCCACAGCACTTCACAGCGCGGCTCCGCGCAGCGGCACGGTCTCCAAAGCCCACGCGCCCCTGGGGATGCAGAGGATGCAGAGGATGCAGAGGATGCAGAGGATGCGGAGGATGCAATGTCCTTGATCAACTCATTGAGTTTTTTCCGCGAGTCTCAGAGCTTCTGGACTCCCTCTCAGCAATCTATGTCTCAGGCGCGCTGGCTGCCTGCGGTGGTAGTGAGGAGCTCCGCTTGCACTGCCTGCAGGTGTTGGGAGAGGACTTTGCTGCAGCCGGGAAGGGAAGTTATGGGATGTTACGGGACTTGGGCATGACAGCACTTGGACCAGCTGCGTCAACGGACCAGAGCTTGCACGTTTCTTTTGCTAGTTCAGGTGTGATGGTCGTTAGGCACGTGCCAACTTACAGACGTCATGCACAAATTGTCGATCACGTTGGCTTTCGCTTCTGCTTTAAGCTGCAACTTGATGTGTTAAAGGATCTCTCGCTTTCTCTCTTCTCACCCTCTCTCTCTCTCTCAGACACACATGTGCGGAGGAAGGCTTGCTGGCCCTCGCGGAGCAGGCTGCTGGAAATTGGCATGGGCCTCGGGGGCGCAATCAGTGGGGTGGCGAGAGGGTGCAGGGGGGAGGGGTAAGGATGATGATGTGTGGGGATGACAACGTTCACTTTCAGAAAACTTTATGATTCCCGAATCTGCGCTTTCCGGTTTCCCGAATCCGCGGTTTCCGAGCTTTTGCTTCTCGAATGTGTGTTTCTAGTTTCCCGAATCTGATGATTTTTTCGATTTCCCGAATCGCGCTGCTGCCCTATTCCGCACCTTTTCAGTTTCCCGAATCTGCTGCTGACTGGGAGCCCTCTTTGTGCAGGTGGCTCCTCTTCCACCCCACGGAGGAGTTTCGGAAGCGGCAGGTGCTGGGCTCTCTGAGGGCTCATGGTAAGAGACTACACCTTCTTCCGAGGGCTTTGTCACTTTCTTACTTGAAACGGTCCCCTCGTATGCAGGCACAGCGTGCCACGGGCTTCTTCCAGCTGCCGGACGGTGTCCGCCTGACACTGGTGTCATCCACATCGGATGCCTTGCATCTTCTCAGCAAGTGGTTGCATCCAAAGCGAGTCCATTAGGGTCGTCCCGGGTTAGCATGCTCGTGGCCAGGCTTGCAGGTGTCATGCGAAACCCATAGCAATTTTTTTGGTACCTTTTCGTAATACTCGTATACTCTTCTTTCAAGAGCCGGCATCAAGAGCCTGGCTGCAGCAGTGCAGGCTGGCCTTTGACCGACTCCGTGGCCGAGCACGTGTGGGACTCGACGTGGAGGGCAGCAGGGAGGCCCGGCTTGCCCCCAGGGTTTAGGGTTTAGGGTTTAGGGTTTAGGGTTTAGGGTTCAGGGTTCAGGGTTCAGGGTTCAGGGTTCAGGGTTCAGGGTTTAGCGTCTAGGGTGCCCCAGATCGGAACCTGACTTGTCACAGAATCCGTTTGGAGGCAGCGCTGATGCAGCTGGCGGTGGAGGAGGACTGGGGAGTAACCAAAAGCTGCCCTGACGTCCTTCGTGCCAGCCGCTCTTTGCGGTTCCTTGCGTTCAGTGGCAAGAGTGCAGCTGAGTCCTGGCCGTGTAAACATTTTGAGAACTTCACGAGGAGGTCTTTGTCTTCGATCTCCAGGCTCTTCGAGAGGATGTGGAAGCTGCTGAGACTGGGCTTCCAAAACTGGGGACGCTTTCAGCTTCATGTCGTTCTATGCAGACGGCATGCTTGGATTTCTAGATAATTCCGAGCTTTTCCAAAGCTCTGGTCGAACAGACCTCAAACACCAGGAAGCCTATGTTGACTTCCTCAACCAAGACGGACTTGAGCAGCTTGGCTGCTTTGATTCCAAGATCGAGCATCCTCCAGCCACCTCCAAGTCTGCCTCAGAGACCCTAAACCCTAAACCCTAATCTCTAGACTCTAGACCCTAAACCCTCAATCCTTTGTTTTCTTTCTGCGAAGAGAGACAGAGGATCCTCGGATTTGGCGGCCGACAGGATCTTCGAAGCTAGGCTGGCCTTTGCCACTGGATGCTTTCGGGGTTGTTGGGCGTCTGGAGCTCAGGAACCAAACTTCGCAATTTTCAACCTTTGTTGGGTCTTTCGGTGCGTGATGATGCTTGTTTTATCGGCAGATTCATACAAGCTACATGGGGCTCTTGGAATTTTTCCGGGTCTGCTAAGAAGGTTCAGAAGGAGTCAAAGCCCACAAGGAATGGTGGCCAAAGTGCCGGCATTCCGAGCAGCCGCGGGCAACCAGAATCTTGGCCTCTCCCAGGTGTTTTAATCAGGTTGGAGGGGGTTGGGGTTAGGTTGAAGTGTGTGAGCTGCTCAAGATTCTCGGCGTCTGGGAGTTCCTGTTCCGAATTCCGAATAGGGGAAGCATGTCGATGTGGATGTCACAGTAGGCAGCAGGCTTTGTGTCATGTTGAGCCAGGTCGTCAGCAGCAGTATGAGATCATCCCAGATGCAATGCTTCTCAGCCTGTTTCCCCCTTAAAAGGCCCCGAGCTTCTAGACTCTTTACCTCTGCGAAGGCCCCGATTCCGGGACATGCAGCGCGGCCACGGGTCCAAGAAGAAGCTTCCTGGACTCTCGAAGCTGGTGCCCCCCGGGGTGGGTTTAAGGGTGAGCTTTCGCTTGCTGCGCGGCCAGTTGTTTTGTTCGAATCTCGAGAGAGGGACGGATGTAAGGGGGTGCTTGATCTGCAGACACCAACACAACAAGCCCGACAACCTGGAGCGGACAGGCCCAGAAGCTCCTGGGAAAGCCCTTGGACAAGTCCCTCCAAGTCTCTGACTGGAAGATGAGGCCTGACTCGGGTGTATGGGCATCAAACGACGGTGCTTGATCAGTGGACCTTTAGTTCGGAGTGACCCTTGATGCAATTTGCCGATATGCCTGCGGCAGCTGCAGAGCTTTTAGATGCATTCAGTAGTTGTTGAAGAGCACAGTTTCTGTTGCAGAAGTTCCAGTCGACGATGTGAGACACTGCTTGCAGGATCTTGCTTTTTGCCATAGCTTGCCGTCTCTCAGAAGTGGTATCGGCAGTACTTTTCTAGGCCACTTCCGCAACTGGACTCCGCGGCGCATGTCAGGCCTCTCACAGCGGAGCAGCTCCAGTATGCAGCGCTGGATGCGTGGGTTCTGCAACTTGATCTGATGAGCCTGACTGAAGATTCATGTGTTCATGCAGGGCGATGTTTGTATAGCAGGCGGAGCAGCTGGAGAGGAGAGAGGTGTAAGAGTTCGTGGTTTCGGAAGTAGGCTGCAACCTGTCCACATGTCTGTCCACATGTCTTCCTGTGGTGACATACAGTTCTTCCTGCATGACCACACAAGAGGGATCGCATTGGAAAAAGGGCCTCCCTGGCAGGCTGAGAATCCTGGACCGAGTTGAGGCAGACGACAGCGCGACGAGAAGATCGGCGAACAAAAAGGGCGGGTGGGTGAATGCTGGGCCTCTTGGGATTGTAAGCTTGTCCTGGTCCTGCAGTGGCCTGAACCTAAAGTTGAAGAGGACCTCAAGCTTGACAAGATCCAGCAGTTTGTCCTGGATGAGTGTGACAAGTGCCTCGACAAGGTCGACATGCGAAAGGAGCCCCGGCCCTGTCGCCTTTGCTGTTTCTTTTGTATTATTGGCCACCTCAATTCTTCTCAGTTGATGCCCAAGCTTCTCTTTGTCGAGCCTCAAGAGGACGTGCAGCAGATCTTCATGGAGACGCCAAAGAAGAAGCAGGCATCTTTCATCTCCCAGGTTTGGGATGGTTTGGAGATGAAACATAGTTTAAGGTCTGGGCAGGTACGTGAGGCTAGTGGAACTGAGGTTTCAGGTTTTGGTTTCTATGATTTCGTTCGCGATAGAGCTACCTGATTGAAGGGGGTGAAGGCGACTGCATTGTTTGGGTCGTCATAGCTGCCCGAATGCCGTTGGTAGCAGCTGCTTTGCTCAGATGCCAGGTTATGATGTTCAGTGCGACCATGTCTGCGGAGACTCGTGCCCTCTGCAAGAAGTTCATGCAGGCCCAGCGACAGAGAAGGGTGCGGCTTGAAACGAGCTTCCGAAGCCACTGCTGTATTCATAACGATGCTGACTTTCTTGCTGGCACTGACGCCACAGTACTGGCAGGATCCCCACGAGATCCGGGTTGATGAGGAGTCGAAGCTTACACTGCATGGCCTGCTCCAGTACTACGTGAAGCTCACTGAGAAGGATCACCTTCCGAAGCTTTCTCAGCTTGGGGGCCTATGCATCCGGAGGTCTGCGGGCTGGTTCGAGTGGATTCTAAGTAGATCCCTGTGCAGGAGAAGAACCGGAAGTTGAATGACCTCCTAGATGCCCTGGAGTTCAATCAGGCCGGGGTATCATCCCATCGACTCCTGCGCCCCCTTGGGCACAACAGGAGAAGCCCAAACATCCAGCTGCAATATGCAGCGCGTTTGTGCACTTCGAAGAGAATTCTGGGTATGAATCGGCATGAAGCATAGATCTGCGGCCAGCTTCATGTTTCACTCTTCCTGCAGGTTGTCATCTTCGTGAAGTCTGTGCAGCGGGCGATCGCGCTGGACAAGCTTCTGGCACCGTGCCCTTAAGGGTTAAGTTCGGCTATGTTCGGCTGTGGTGGACGATCCCAGTCATACGCCTTGCGATGGTCCCTGTAAGACTACGGAGATGCCAGAAGGGCCTAGTGCTCTCGTCTCATCCCCAACCAAGGTCGAGTGCAACTTTCCCTCCATTGCTATCCATTCTGGCCTTCAGCAGGATGATGCCCGGCCGCAGGGACAAGAACTTCGGAAAAACGCCACATTTACGGCCCTTGATGCCCTTGCCTCCCTGGGATGTCAAAGGAGTATAAGGAGTGCTTGAGTGTTCTCCACCTCGTGAGCTGTTGCGACTGGGAGCTTCCGGAGCTTTGAGAGATTCCGAGAGTCTAAGGACCGCATTGCCCGGTACAAGCAGTTCAAGGAGTTCCAGAAGCGGATTATGGTGCCCCGAAGCTGTTGCGGAGAGAGGCATCAGTCAGGGAACATGTACCGGCGAGCTCACCTCGACTGAGTCGGAAACAAGAAAGCCCAAGTCGAAAGCAGAAAGGCTTCCCCTTGCCTAGGGTTAAGGGTTTCGGGTGTAGGGTTGGTTTACAGTTTACAGGGTGTAGAGTATGGCAGAATGGAGTATTTTCGGGTTCATGATGTTGGGATGTTAGTGAGTAATTAAGGCTGCTATAGTCTAGGTGTTCCAAGGCTTACGCGTTTCAGGCATTTCAGGGTTCAAAAGGTTTACGGATTTTGGACAATTTGTTTTTCGGACTCGGTCCAGTTTGTGTTCGACTCATGTTCCCGACTCACCGGTCACCCAAGCTGAGGGGTACCGGAGTTTTGGATGGCTCTTTTGGTAGCGGCTTGGTGAGGTATCCACCGACCTCTTCGGACGCGGTATCGACATCGAGCGAGTCAACATTGTGATCAATTATGATATGCCAGACGAGAGCCACTAGACTGGACGCGGAGCCATACAATCAGCGTTGCACCCCCGTGCCCTCAAATTCTCAAAGCACGTTGGGCTCACCCCTTTTTTATCTTGCCGGGCTATCCAATTGCAAGCGTCAGTTTGGACCACTCCTGCAGTCATTGCCACTCCTGCAGTCATTGCCAGAGGTAGTTGTGTAAGCCATGGGATACGTTCAGCTTAGCTCCTTCACCTTGGGGTGCTCTGTATGATAGCCTCATGTTTGCAAGTTTCGAACAACACCTACCAATTATTCTAAGCTTTGCAGGGCGCTTCGTCAAGGTCAGAGTGGCCCCAAGCATCATGAAAGAACCATCAACCCGTCAACCCTGCAAACTGCTGCAAACTCCTCGAGTAATTTCTGAAGATGAACCTAAGGTGACTCCTACCTTCATCGAGTGGGTCGGGCCGGGCGCTTCGGCACGAAGGTGCCACGACAAGCAGACGTACTTTTCAGGTTTTGGGTTTTTTTTTCTGAGTGAGGCCTAGTGGAAAAGCGCGCAGCATCTCTATTTGGCACGGTAGCGATAGGTTAACGCATGTTCAAAGGTCTAGCTGTTGCCATGGTTGTCCAACTCTGATAGGCCGCACGTTTCCGTCATTGTGCTGGCATGTCAAGCTCAAAGTCCCGAAACAAAAAGACTGCCACGCTGTAAGCCCTGCTTGTGGCAGGGGCTTGCGATCACTTTCGTGGCCACGGACGAGGACCAGGAGGTGAAGATGAGTAGCTGGCTTTACGGAATTTTATACGGTCTCAAGTCCGGATCCTGCGATTTTGCATGCCAGGTCCTGAAGAAGGTGCAGGAAAGATTCGAGGCAGGACAGCGGATGCGGCATGATCACATGGGAGTCTGGCCGGGACCAACTCAATTCAGGCAGATTTGAGATCTGCCTGGGGATTAAGTCTTGAGAAGTCTTGGGTGGAACACAAACTTTCGTCTCCTACCTCGCCCTATACCTTGGAACTTTATAGACTACGATTTTCCAACAGAGAACAAAGGTCGGAAACTGTGTAGCACCTGCCATAGTCCGGACTGAGGTTGCAGACCTTGAAGCAGTGGGTGAGAGCAGGGCAAACAACTCATCTTTCGGGCCTTCTCCGACACAGACGAGGGAGAGCATGCACTGGAATGCAGGCTTTCCTGCAAGTGACCCGTGCCCTCGCGCAGTGATGCGGAGGGTGATGCATGATTGAAGGGTCTTCAACCACAAAGAACAAGACGTCCACGGCTGCCAGACGCTGCCTGTGTCTTTGCTGCTCTTTGTTGCCTGCAAGATCTTCTACTTCGTGCGTTCTCCGGGTTTGTTCACGTTCTCTGGATGCCGACACGTGAAGTCGAAGGCCAATCAGTCCCCAACCACTGCGAAAAGGCGATGCAGAGAACCGAGCATGTGCACCCAAAGGGACGTGGAAACACGACAGGCAAAGCCACACAGATGCCTATGGCCTTCATGGCCTTATGGTGAAGTCCGGTGAGTCAAAGTCGCGAGAGCAGTCATCGACGTCACTCTTGTCAGCTCCAGTCCTACATGATTCGGCGATGCATGGAACTGATGGGAGGACAGCCAGCACGTCAAAACCTGCATATGCGAGCATTTGCCCCGCATTTTGCCAGCTGCCAAACCATTCCCTCCAAAGCCAACATCAATATCGCAAAAAATGCGCCCAAGAGCTCATGGAAGCGAGGAACATAGCCGTGGTCACCAGCAGGTGGAGCAACACAAGCCATTCTTTGCCTAGGCCATTAACATGCCGCCGACGACTGCGTGAGCTGGAAAGCACATGCGCGCGCAACACTGGCAGCCGCCGCAGCTGCTTCCTCCCTGCATCAACATGTTCGTTCCACCTGTTTGCAAAGTGGTGATGGGATGTGGTGCACAAGGGGAATCCTGGGAACTGGCTTATATTGGCTTCAAGACCTGCGGTTTTCTCGCGGAGAGTGATTGTGGCAGGAGGAAGTGTTCAGCCAAGGAGGGTCAGCCTGAGGTTGTGTAAGATGGAAAAGGCAGGAGTCCGGGAGCCCCTGCCTCCTGGAGAAGAGTCCCCATAGAAGGTGTTTAAGTGTGTTTAACAATGTCTGCAGGGTTTTTGCAGGGTTTTTGCAGGGTTTTGTTCTCTTGATTGCACCCTTTCGCGCCCGAAGACAATCATCATAGAAACTCTGTCGCCCTACCTTTTCCCGGGTAGCCAAATGCGCATAATGCGCCCTAGGAGCTGCATTTTGCAGGTGAGACCTGCTCGCGTTAGCCCATGATTCTCAACAGCCTCCGAAGTCCAGAGCGCAGAGGAGATCATGTATCATGTCCAAGGATGCCGTTGCAGCTCCTCTCTTCAGCCTACACTTGCTGGTAGAGACGTGCTTTCGGTCCAGCACTCGTCCACACACCAAGTTTTATGAAGCGAGGCGTCGTCACAAATCCATTTCCTTTTCCAGCCCTGGAACAAAAACAGAGTGACCGCTCGAGTGAGCACGATGTGTCGAGGATTTCTGCAGGAATGAGAGCTTTCGGAGCAGAGCTTGAAAAGCTGCAATCGAGAAGGGTGATCATGGTGCCCCTTGCTATCCGGAACCAGGGACAGACACCGCCCCTGGAGATTCACTCTTGATGTGGACCTGCATCATTGCACTATGCAGCTCAGTCGAATTTGCTACAGTCTGCTGATCGCTGCGATCTGCTACGATCCACGCTGCGGCGTCTGGGATTCGGTGCAGGATGCGGCATTCGATCCGGAATTCAGAGTGGAGGAATGGTCTCAACACATGCGGCCAGGGCCGCCAAGTCGTGTTCGTGTGACCCAGGATTCTGGGGCAGAGGTTACCTGCGGACCAACTCGGCTAACAGTTGAATCTCCCGTTGTTTGCACCGAATTGGCCCAAAAGAGCTCTAGCATTTGCAAGGTGAACATTGGGGAGATGCCGGCATCGATCGACACCACCTCCTACCTCAACGCTTGACGCGCTTTGGGGTAGTTTGTTCGATGTCTCGACGTTGAAGAGCTTGGGGCTTGCAGTGTATAGAGCAAGCTGAGCCCATGCACATCAATCTAGGAGGAAACCGTAAACCCTAAACCCTAAACCCTAAACCCTAAACCCTAAACCCTAAACCCTAAACCCTAAACCCTAAACCCTAAACCCTAAACCCTAAACCTAAACCTTAAACCCTCAACATGTCATATGTCCCGTAGGGTAGACCTTGGAGGAAATAACCGCGTGCACTTGATGGCAGCCGGTACCTGCAAGCCACGAGATTCCGGCCACAAGATGGCATGGACAGATATGCTTCCGTACCGGATACAGCGTAGTGAGTCTCCTCCTCATTGGTCATGCTGTGCCATTCGACTTAACTTAGAAACCTCAGCTCCCTACCCGATCTCTGCGCTTTGTTGGCGGACTTTGGATGATATGTTTCTTCCCGAGTTCCTCGCGCAAGTCTTCGTTTCACTCACAGATCAGTCCTCGGGTGGGCGTCTGGACAGCCCGACCAAAGAGGAGGAGCCATGGCCTGACAGGGCAATCCTACGCAAAACCCACAATTCTGAGCCAAAGCATGCTTGGTGACCCTTAAGTTCAGTGAGAGGAGGAGTTCGATTCAGACTGGCATGCTCTCTCTGGAGCATCCAAGCGGACAATCCCAGTGTCCAAGGCCCCTGGTTCTGTCCTTCATCGGGTAGTCTTGGAGTAAATTTTGCAAGGAGTTCACCAGGCAGAAAGTGGCGCAGAAGTTATGAAGAGCATCTGAATCCTGAGGCACAGGTTGGATGCAGCCTCAGCCCCACGCCTCTTATTCCATGAAGTGGCACATTCTTGCTGCATGAGCTGGACTTCGTACAACGCGGCCGCCAGTGATTTCACACGATGCAGCCCTCAACATCCGATACGGTGTTGCGCTGAAGTTATGCGGCCCTATCGCGTAGGACAGCTGGAGGCCTTCGGCTGCCCAACAATCCGAACCTGAGCTGCCCCGACCGTGGCTCAATCCCGTTGGATGCAGTTGCGTGCGAGTAGTCAGGGCACTGCACCAGCTGGGATGTCCCCGATGCTCAGAACCCCCTATCCGGTCAAATGGTTCCGATATTCAGATGGCCAAGTCGAATCAGCTGTTAGTCACTTCTCAGTAGGTATTTGTCAGCTAGTAGTGTTGAGCTTCTGTATGCTCTTCCCACTCCGGTAGCTCCATCATGTGCAAGAAATATGCTTTGGCAGCCACTGCACGTGCCCTGACAACTTGGGTGCTGCACCTGGGTTAGAGACAGGACTCGCCAGCGCAAACAAAAAGCAAAGCTTGTGAAGCTGTGGTGTAGAAGGCAAACGGATGACTCCCACATTCGATCAAAACCACAACTTGGAGAAGTTGTGCATGCCCCTTGCGATCAACGGGGCTCTATATTTGGGGTCCCTGGCGATCGCAAGCATTAAAATGATGTCGACGTCGACCTGAGGCCTTCTCTGCTGCTTTCACGTCGCAGGCGAGTCAGGCTACGGCTGTTTGATGGTGAAGGGTCCCATGACCCCTGAACCCTTAGACTCTTCAAGCCCCAATCCGCCAATGTTCTAGCAAGATGCCTGTGCAAAGCGTATGTTGTTTGGGGTTTAGGCTGGATGGCGGAAGCGGTTCTCCATGTACACGTTGTCCCGACAATCGACTTCATGGCTGTTTGACATACAGAGTCACGCCCGCCGTTTCCATCCTGGACTCTGCATGCCCACACACCCAAGCACCAACCACAGCGCGCTTTTGAAGGTTCCGAATGTCAACTCGATTGGCACCATGTCGCAGCAGGTGCGATGCTCTGAGATCCACCATTGATGCACAAACTAGGATGGCGCTGTAGGCAGATGTCTCATGACATGCTCCATGCAGGCTTGCAATTGAGATTTGTTAGTGTCCAGGACATGCTTGAGCATTCTGTTTCATGAACTGAAGTGGACCAGCTGTGGTGGCCTTTGCAGGCATCGTGGTCAGGGCAAGTGCAGCAGTGGGAGAAGCCCTGCAGTGGCATGGCAGAAACAGTGGTTGACACCGGCTGTGCGGTCAAAGCCAGTGAAACTCTTGAACCCTCTAAAGATCATGTGAAACAACCTGAAAGAACCTGCTCTTTTGCTCACAAATAAGGCTTCGTCGATGGCAAGGCGCGGGACCTGTGGGGTTGCACCTCAAACGCTCTCTTGGCCTTTTGTGATTTAGTCCCCTGCGGGATACTCAGGGCACTCATTCAGCTATTCTTTTGATGCACCTGTACTTTCAATGGAGACTTCTAGGACTCCTAGGCTGAGTGACTCCTGAGGTCTTGGGCACCACTCCCACCACAGGGACCCTGTCCGGCGCTGTGCTATCTCAAGAAGAGTTAATTGCAGGCGTTGCGTCCTTCTGTGATGTTGACCCGCTCAGGAAGGCTTTGGATTAAGGTTGTCTGTCAGTATTTCGTGGGTTGGCCAGAAAGCCAAGCCACAGGTCGCAGTGTTTCTTCAAAGCACCCCAA